AACCTCTGGCCATGACATCTCCACTCTGTCCCTCTGCAGGGGCTTCACTCCCTCTTAGATCATGAGGCCCCATGGACAGAAAGTAGCTGATGCTGGTACCATGGCCCTAAGAGAAGGACTCTACACTGGAGGCTGGAGGAGAGAGCATTCCAGAAAGCAGAAACATCAGGAAAAAAAGAGGGTCCTGTCCCTGCATGGCTAGGGACACTGCCCCTGAGAAGCCATTGAGTAGATGGGTTGCCCACGACCCAGACATTTTCCTCTGTTGGGTGCTGAGAGCTGATGGGACTGCAATTTTGTAATCATTATTATAATTCATCAGAGGCACTGGGAAATTAGTAAAGTTGACTTCAAATATATGAAAGCTTGTCATACCCATAACCTTCCACGGACATGTCAAATTCCACGAAGGAGGGAGCCAGGGCCGCCCTCTGAGGCTGCAGGTTGCGAGGGGAGGTCATGGAGATGAGGCTCAGGGCTGTCTGGAGGGCGGTAGCTGAGTCCTGGGATGCCCCCGCAGGCCTCAGGGCCTGTGTGGCTGCTGGGTGCAGGCCTGCACCCGGTGTAGGGCCCTCAACTCTTACTGGTGCTGCCACCTGCGACCCTAAGGCAGCAGGCAAGAGAAGAGATGCATCTGCTCAAGCATTTCCACCCATCTTCTTACAATAGCTCTGACATTTCTGCCAAGGCCCCCACAGAAGACTCTGTGGAGTCACTAGGCATTTCCTAACCACCAGGAGGATGCTCTCCTGGGCCCTCCCGCCTGGATCCTCTACTGATTTAATAACACTGAACGTTAGTGACAACCTGCTTCTCCTACAAGCTTCTCCCTTTGATCCTATAATCCCTCCTCCCTTTTAAAACACACCGTTTTCTTTCGCTGTCATTGGCTTGTCCCACTGGCAGTCACTCCCTGGGGCTTTGTCCTCCACACTCCTAACAGCCAGTCTCCTTGACAGTTCTGCTCCCACCTCCTGCTGCCAGCCATGCCTGACTCCCCTTCCTCGCTTTGCAAGTGGGCCTCCTGGCCTTAAAGTCCTACGTGATCTTACATTCAGTGTGTATGCGGCTTTTTCTCCAAGTTGGTTCTCTGAACCAGTATTATCCCAGGCCTGATCCACCCAGTATTTTGGTCTCTTGAGCCCCTAACTCACCCTTGAGCTGGGAGCTGAGCCAAAACCTGTCACTGCACCGCTTTGTCCAATGCAGCACTGTCATAAGGAAACCCTCTCGCTCTTTCTGTGATCTGGGCCCAAAGAGGTCAAGTATGCTTATACCATCACCTATCTTATATGAGTGTACAGGGCAGCCTCTTTCCAGAGAATCAGGTCTTCTCTGGGGACCACCAATGCCTCTGCTTTTCCTCAATTGCTCCACTGAGCAGCAGGTCAAATCATTTAAAAAATCTGTCTGCTTCCACTGTTGTAAAGGATTCCTTACAAGGAATGCATATTCTCTTTTAGTTCCCATTAACCTGCCCCTGCTCTTTCCTCTGGCCTCACCTGAGCATGCACAGCTCCCTCGGTGCACATGAGAGGAACTGAAGATTTTTGTTGCAGCCGATGGAGGAGGGGGAATTCCAAGTCCTAGAAATTGTCTATATATTATAATATAAGAGAGAAACAAATGAAGACATTTTAGGGGTGGAAGTTTCTCCAGCTTCATCTGAACACTGTCCTAAGTCCCCACGCTCCCTGGTCCCCTCCTCACGCTCTCCTCTCTCCTCAGGCCATGCAGCAGTGGGGAGTCCCCACCCTGACACCCAGGCCAGAGGGTGGGTGAATTTAGATGCTTTTGACTTAACTGGTGACCAGCTAGGAACCTCAAACTGGACCTTGAGAGGGAGAGGAATTTCTTGGAAGATAGCCTTGACATACTTTGTTTTCAACTTTCTAATGGAATTTACTAAATAGCTGAATTAAGCACGGTGGCCTTGTCTGACAGCTGCATGTCTAGAGGCTGGCCTGGCCCCTGGGTCACAGGCATGCTGGCTGGAGAAGTTGACTTCTGTGGCCATTTTACTTGGTGCTGTATGTCAGCAGGGACCCAGCAGGCATGTGACCCCTGGATGCCACCCTCTCTGCGCTGAGCCAGGGTAGGGTGGCCTCGCCAAAGGTGCTTAGGAGACTTGACCTCCCTCCTGCAGCCTCTCTTGCCTCTGTCCTGTGCACCTTCCCTCCTGGCTCTGCTCTCAAGGAAACACATAGCTTCATGCAGGGGCTGTGAGTTGAAGGCCTCCACAAGAGACAATGGGACACTGCCTCTGCCAGCCTCCACGTCCCGTCTTGTGGGCCAATCACCCTGCAGTCCAGCCCCTCAGACAGTCAGACCCTCACAGCCTCCTGTGTCCTTCCATGGAGGACATCTTCAGATGTGGAGTTACTAACTTTCCTGGCCTGCTCCTCATGCCTCCACCAGCTCTGCTTCCTTGAGGCCCTGCCTCTTTACATCCAGTCTCCTGACTGCGGTCCTCCTGGCTCCATGTAGCTCCAGCCCTCTCCACTGAGCACCCCCCTAGGACACTATTCCATATTGCCAACAGGTCCCTTTATTGTCCCCTCTCCCCCAGACCATCACCCCTATGGGAAGGCTATGTCTGCTTTGCTGGCCCACACACTGCCCACAGGGACCCTGGTCTTGCAGTGCCCAAGGCTTGGAGGGACCACACTGCAGAGGGCAGAGCAGGCATGGGGACCCCTGTTCCTTCTACACCCCTAGTGCCTGAGGCTCGACAGCATTTAACATGGGGCACGCCATACCTTAACACATCTGGTTCGATGGCTTGGGAAGCAAGCTTTTCAAAAATCCTGATGAGGCCCGAGTGTAAGGGGCTGCTGCCAGTGGTCAGGGCCTTGTGGCAGGAGGTCATGAGGGTCCTGAGCATCCCTGCCTCACACATGACCTGGCGATTCTTCTCCGATTTTACCAGGGACTGGATGTGACTGACCACGGAGCACTGGATCTCCTTTGAAAGCTATGAGATAACCAAAGCTGGTGGTGAGCCCTTGAGATCAGAATACTTTGTGAGAGGCTTTGATGGGCTGCTGAGTAGGCCTGGACTCGGTTGTGAGGCAGGGAGACTGTGCCCACACAGCCTGTTCTCACTGCATGCTACCTGTCCCAGGTGTCTGTGGATGCACCCTCATTACCCAATGGCAGGCCTGGAGGCCAGTCTATAGAATCAGCTGCCAAAGATGTAGACAGCTTAAAACTGAGACCACAAACTGGCAGGCAAGAGGCTGCACCTGCCCCAGAGATGGGTGGTATGTCGGAATTTATTTTTAACTTTTAAAAGTCCAGCAATTTTATGTTAAAGTCCAGATATGTGGCCTCAGTCAAAAGATAGAAAGACCTGGTCAGCCAGATGTGGGTTTGCAGTCCTGTGTTGTCATCCAAAGGCAGCTGGAGTCAGACAGTGGCTGTCCCGCCTGTGGGCCCCTCCTCCCAGCTGGCTGTGCTCACTCGCAGGGCCTATGTTTGAGTTCATACCCCTTGGCATGCAAGGTGAAGCTCTCCTGGAGTGCAGGTCTGCAGGAGGCCCCCCTGTATACTACTGGCTGTGGCGGGTACAGCCTCCTCATCTACATGGATCAAAGTGCATGCAGAGTGTACCAGCCACTAAGGTCACAGCTTCTGGGGGCAGCTTCGCTGACACCTCCCCTTCAGCCCCCAGGGGTTGTCTCCTTCCCTCCCACCCTCCAATTATCCTTTGTCCACCTCTCCATCCTAAACACACCCTGCCTTTCGGACAGCTGTGTTCTCATCTTACCCCTGCTAGATTTCAAGTCACTTAATTCTCTATGTCTTTGAAGCCTATAAGGTAGGACACACAGAGTTGGCTCACTAAATATTTGAACCAAATACATGTTTTTACAATCTTCTTTTCTTCATAAAAATATAAACCCCTGGAATTCCCAGCCCTCTGTGCATATAGACACAGTTTCAAACAGAGTGAAGAGGGGGCATTCCTTTGCAAAAACTCTTAGGACTGTCCACATTCTCTTTTACTGTGGTATAAAATGCTGCCTGAAGTGAGGGAGATGCCAGTTAGAGCTTAATGGAGTTCTCCTGTAGTGCATGCTATAGGGGCCACCCCAACCTCCTGCTCCATGTGAGTGCGCCCACCACAGCTGCGCCTTCTCTGTGTGGGAGCTGCCCACCCCCCATGGGGCCCCCACATGCATGTTTGTGCATGCACACACACACACATTTGTGCACACATGTGTTCACACAGAGATAGATGCATGTACACACATAAATATACACATACATACATGCCTGCACACAAGTGTATGCATGTGTGCACATATACATGTGCATATGCATACATGCCTGTGTGAATCCACACATGAATATACACCACACACACACCACAGACTATAGCCAATGAGGCCATACCTTCAGTATCTGTGGTGCGATTCATGCTTGAGAGCCACATCCTGTGGGCTCAGGCTAAAGCTAGAACTCAGCCGACAGCACCTTCTCACTCAGCTCCTTCCCAGGCAGCATCCTGCTTCCTTTGCTTCCCTTCCCCTGAGTCACTCCCTCTACAGATCCGATGTACCTGTGCCTCTGTCTTGGACCCCACTTTCTGAGAACCTGGCTCGAATCCCTAGCATGCTTTTCATACTGCTTGCCTTTACCCTAGTTTTGGTTGCAAACGAAGAGATCTATGACAATGTAGATTACATCGAGGTCAGTCCACCAACGTAAAGCCAGGAGTAACCATAAGCCTTTATTTATTTGAATAATCTCCTTCTTTGAGGACTGGCCTCTGGTCCCATCAAGGCACAGACCATCTATTATTACCCATACCCCCGACTGCCATGAAAACCTTTTGGGCTCCTCCCCTGCTTCCCTTTCTTCCTCTTCCCCCTGTCCCTCATATAAGTATTAACTGCCTCTTCAAGGTCAGGCTCTGGAAAAAGCTTTAGGCATTTTCTTTTTTTTTTTTTTTACAGCCAAATTGCCTTATTTTATTGGATTTTTCAATAAAAATACCAGCCATGTCAAAGTTTCCATGCAAAATCCTAAAAAGCATAGCAGATCTGGATCAGATGGGGTGGGCATAGGGAGCTCCCTCTCAGGTTTTGAGGTGGGTTGAGTGCCGGGGTGGTGGAGGCTGAGGAGGCTGAGCTGTCACCTTGATGGGGGTCTTGGCTGTGTCCTGGGTGCTGGGTGGGGTGGGTGGGCAGCCGCCAGAGGTGAACAGAGCAGTCAAGGTATTCTGGGCATTGATTGCACACCTATGGCTCACGGACCTGGTGGATGGGCTGGGGTTCTTGGCTTTCTTGTATTTCTGCAGGTTCTCAAAGTGAGCCAAGGACTTGCAGTGGGAAAGCTGTGCCCCTGAGTTGTTGTGGTAGAAAATGTGGCAGATGCAGCAGATGTAGCCCATCATGGGCACCAGGAAGTCCATACCGTATGCAGTGTTGGGACAGTAGCTCTCTGAGCCTTTCTACTCCTGTATAGATATATCTCTGAACCCCACCTGCTTGCAGAATTCCTCCTCAACCTCAATCTCTTCTTCTTCATCCTCCTCCTCCTCCTCCTCTTCTTCATCACCCTTGAAGCAGCCCATGGCATCCACTGTGATGAAGTGGTCCTCATCTTGGCCAGCTAACTCTTTTTCAAGCATCTTCAGCTCCTTGGCTTTGTCCTCGTGCCCCTGGGACTTCACATGTTCCACAAACTTGCGGGGGAATAAGACACTGTCAATGCTCTAACGGGACTCGTGGACCACAGGTGAGACACTCAAGGAGACAGTCTCAGCACCAGGAAGCACACTCTCTAGCAGAGAATTTCCAGTGTCTGGGAAGCCAGGGGTTTCTCACAGTCCCTCACAGAGTTCACAGAGCTCCTGGATTCAGAAGGGAATCCAGGCTTAAGGGCCAAATTTTGCCCTGTGATGAGAATATTTCCTGGGTGTTTAGGGTGTGCTGGAACCTCCTCCTAAGCATTTTGACATGTCTAGATTATGCAATCCCTGTGAGGAGTTCTAGGAGGGAGGTACTATTATTATCCCTATTTTATAGATGAGGAAACTGAGCCCAGGGAAGAGAATTGTCAAGGCCACATAGTGGGAACTGAGCCTGGCCCATGCTCAGAATCACCTCCTTCCATCATCTCTTCCTCACAAGTGCAGTGATTTGGGGCCACCCTGATCAGAGGTTCAAGAGTATATTTGTATCAGCAAGGGACAGCAATCAGTAAGACGGCATTCTTTCACAGGCTGCCAACACTGTTCTGTAGCATATGTGTTCTAAGGGTTAAAATATATAGGGAATCATATTTATACCGTTTATCATCAATTTTTAGATTTTTTAAAAAGTCTAGAAATGAATGGATCAACAACTCACCATCCCATCCTCCCACCTGCTACCAGGTGCACAGTACCTATAGCTCCTGCCTCAAAGTGATGGCATTCACTTCTGCACAGTATCTTCAGTAACATTTTCAACTTAAAATTGTAGACTATTTTAATTTAGGGTTAAAGTTTAAACTGCATTAGAATGGTCTTTCAGGGGGATTGCTCCCATGCAGGATTTTGTCATTCTGAAATGTCATCATTTTGCCAATGTCACTGATGTCAAGGAGAGATATCATCATTCAGGGAAGATGGACTGAGTGTTTATGCTCCCCCAAAGTTCATGTACTGAGACCTAATTTCCGATGTGGTGGCATTTGGAGGTGAGGACTTTGGGAGGTGCTGAGGTCATGAGGATAGAGCCCTAAGGAATTAGATTAGTCCTCATAAATGCTGAGGTCATGGGGTAGAGCCCTTACAAAACAGACCCTGGAGAGCTCCCTCTCCCTTTGTGCCATTTAGGGACACAGTAAGACGGGGACCATAATGAGGAAGTAGGCAATCACCAGACACCATCAGCCAGAGCCAAGATCTTGGACTTCCTAGCCCCCAGAACTCTGGGGAATAAATGTCTATTGTTTCTAAGTCACTCAGTCTATGGTGTTGTGTCATAGCAGCCTGAATGGACAGAGATAGTCTCCCTCCCTGTCACGTGCTATTGGCACAGCCAGCATGACCTGGTAGACAGACAGACATGTGCAACCCAACAGGGACCAGGAACAGAAGGTAGAGATGCCAAAACCACTATGCACTTAACAATTCCATCACCTACACTGAAGAGCTATTGCATGTGGAGCTGCACCCAACCTCTTTGACTCCCTTCCCCTGATGCTTCCCCTGCCGCCCCCTGTGGAGCCTGCACCTCTGCCTCCCTTCTCCATCTGGCCCCCAACAGAAAGGGAGCTGCCACCCTCTTGCCTCAAGCTTTCCCTCTCTCAGAACTTGGATTATCGGGTAACTGAATCTTCTAATGTGGGGGGTAGGGGAGCTGGGGAAACAGTCTGTATGAAGCAAGATGCAAAAATAACATCACAATGTATTATTAATAAGAATTAGAAAAAAACGTCTACAACCTCTAGTTTTTATTATCAGCACTTCACTTATTGCTTTGGGGGCTTTTGGCTTTCTGTTTTGGTGTTGTTACCTTTTTTTCTTTTTTTCACCAGAAAAGGAATACTGAATAAATATCTAAATATGCGAAAAAGCAAAATGAAAGGAAAAAAAAGAAAGTTTTCAAAAGGGAGAAATGCTGATCTTGTCTAATGATGCCACAAGTTTACTCCAAAACTTGCTCAATACTCCATAATGGAGGAGGGAAAATTGATCGTCCTCATTATCACTGCGGCTCTGTCAATACCAGTATTGCCTTGTTTTGAATAAAATGTGCTGTTTTTTTCAATGTTGGTTCCAGTAAAATGGGGTTTTAGTGAAAATATGAGCAGTAGCAGGAAACCAGTCTGGTTTCTCCCCTACAAATGGATTGATTTTCCTAACGCACATCACTTCTAGGGCAGGAAAGGGGATGGTGGTTCAATTAGGACCCAGTGGTGAGCACACTAGGTCACTAGGCTCAGCAGGCTGGACCTGCAAGGCAAATTATCACAGAA